TTTTTGCTGAAATCTCACATAAAATCTAAAATCTCCCGTGTTCTGGTATAACTCCCGTAAAATCTCCCGTATTCTTGGTATAACTTCCGTAAAATCTCCCGTTTTCTGGTATAACTCCCGTAAAATCTCCCGTATTCTTGGTATAACTCCCGTAAAATCTCCGTTTTTTGCTGTCGAAATCTACCGTATTTAAAAGGAATTTGACAAATTTGTGACCTTGATTATTGCAGGCACGCTTCTTTCTTTTTCTCCAAGAAGGATTGGCTCCCATGGTTCACTATCGATACTTTCATAAATCACTTAAAAGTACTTCATTCCCATGATTCAAATTGCTTTTCTGCGATCAGTTCGGTATAAGTTTGCACACCAAATGTCCACAAACGGGGGCCAGTTCATATTCTGTCATACTTCTGTCGGGAGAATACATTTTGTTTTTATATGGCGCTAAACAAAATATTCCCGCAATATAAGGCGCATTATGGATAGGGACTGCTGTGAAATAATGAACGTGACGGACATCTATCTTAGATTATAAGTTCTAATTAATTTATTAACTGCGCATGCGTCATAATAATTTCAACCAATTAAATCGCTGGATTTAATGCTCATGCGCGAAAAACCGAACTTAAAAAAATTTACCGCGAAAAATACCTTTTTAAAAAATCTCCTGTAAAAACTCCGCTTTTTTCAAAAAACTCCTGCAAAAACTACCGGAATTTGAAAAAAACTCCCGTAAAAGTACCATTATTTTTTTTTAATCTGAAAATTTTTCATTTTAGGTTGGCAAATCAGGAATGTAAACTCTCAAATCCTGCATCAAATATCTGAATGATCTCTAACTATCTAGTTAACTTAACCTTTTATCCTGTATCAGTATGTGGACAATAGTAAACATTGTAATTCAAGCTGCACTTAAAACAAGCAGTATCTTACTGGTGGCTATATAAACTTGATGACCCCAGGTCATTTTGGTGATTAAGCTGACCAACATCAAGCCAAATATTTTAAACAAAATAGCCAATATTCATCTTTATTTTCCATTATTTATGTTGTTTTAAAAGACTAAAAAACTTCATACCAATGATATATAAGATCTTACCTAAAGATCCATTGATTTTCTGAATGAATGAGGAAACAGAAATGGTAGCATTATGATGTTAAAATCATAGTATAAAAGTGATGTTTTACATGTTGGTTCAATGGGGAACTGCTTTAGGCCTAAGATTCTTTTCCTGAAAATGGGCTAGACATCTATTGGCTGTTTATAGAGTATTTTCAACTATTTAGCAAGGCTAAACTCCTGTATTCCGGTTTGGTACAGTTTCCAGAACAGCCCATCAATCCAGGTACCATCGAAGGCTTTCCTAATGTCCATTAATGCCAAAAATATATATATATATTAGGGCTGTCGATGGTTAACCGGTTAATGGTTAACCGCCGATAGTAGCTTGCTCGAGTAAGAAATTTTCACTCAAATTAGTTGACCGTAAATACTTAATCCTATTTGTATTATAATTATCCGGATCCCTTAATCTGTTTGTTTTTCTCAAATGCCAGGGTCACATGTCAAGCTCAAGCAATGTAGCTTGATAGCTTGATAGTTTTGGCGCTAAAAATAAATCCCTCATAATTGGATCCAGTTAGGCTTCATACGTCACATACAGGGTGACCGGAAAAAAAGGAGACCATTGAAGTAATCAATTTCTCCTAAACTAGACAAGTGCCATCAATGAAATTTTGCATACACTGGAACAGTTATATGGAAATTTGTTACTGAAGGTTTCAATACAAGCATTCAACTGGTTGAGGAGCTATGATCATTTACATAACATGCTCCAAATAGGCACAATTGAGACCAACGCAGAGTTGGATTCATATGGCAAACTACCCTTACATGTTCTGCCCTCTATGGCATTATTATGGCATTACATATAGCAGTGATTGCCTTCTTTAGGTCAACAATAGTCTGAGGATTGTTTTGGTATAGATTGTCTTTCAAATATCCATACAAAAAGAAATCAGCAGGATTCAAGTCTAGGCTGTAATGGCAATGAAGGGTTATCTGACATGTGGTTCATCATCCTGTTGCCAAAGTGCTGATTTACCAAATCTTAAGAGTCACTTTAGGTATTGGGCATAGTGCCATGTTACTAAAACCACTATATGGCACAATTAAATCCCATATGAAAACCAAGGGCTGCCCAAAACCTCCTTAGGATGATACTGTAACTGAGTGGGACCACTGAGTCAGTCGCCATAGGTCAGATAAGCTTCGTCTCCATACACCTCAAATTTGAATCCACCTGATTTCTTTTTGTGGGGCAATTTGAAAGACAATGTGTACCAAAACAATCCTGAGACAATTGCTGACCTAAAGGTGGCAATAAATGCTAAATGTAATGCCATAACAAGGTCGGAATATGTAAGGGTATTTGCCAAATGTATCCAGCTCTGCGTTGGTCTCAATTGCGCCTATTTGGAGCATGTTATGTAAATGATCATAGCTCCTGAACCAGTTGACTGCTTGTATTGACACTTTCAGGAACAAATTTCCATAGAACTGTCCTGATGTATGCAAAATTTCATTGATGTCACTAGTCTATTTTAGGAGATATTGCCTATTTCAATGGTCTCCTTTTTTTCCGGTCACCCTGTATTTTAATCCTTTAGTATTCCTGTGCTTATCCATTTCCAAGTGCCAGACGCTCACATGTCAGATAATTACTTCCTGATCAGAAACATTGTAATCCTTATGTTACTTCCCTCGAAAGTATACGTGTTGGTTTTAATTTTTTAAATTCGATTCGGAGATACGATCATGAAATTATATTCTTGATCATATTGCTTTTGTCAGTACTAGCGGAGGAGGAGGAGTTGTATACGATGACGATATACCAATATACCACTCTCCACTGTATATCGTTGTTATAGACCCATGTTATACAACAATAATATTATGGTGTAAATTCTGTGTCAAAAGTTTACATACATAATTTCGTAATTTAGGCGCTCTCTATTCTGGACGCTCTTAAACCGAACGCTATCGAATCAAGACGCTATGGCTATTGGCCAAATGGTACAATATCACGTCGTTATGTTTACGACCATATGGTCGTTCAACACGGTCGTAAGGTCGTAAATTTACGTCAGTAAGGTCGTATAACACGGCCGTAAGGTCGTAAATTTACGTCAGTAAGGTCGTAATAACACGGTCGTACGGTCGTAAATTTACGTCAGTAAGGTCGTATTACACGGTCGTAAGGTCGTAAATTTACGTCAGTAAGGTCGTAATAACACGGTCGTAAGGTCGTAAATTTACGTCAGTAAGACTGTATAACACGGTTGTAAGGTCGTAAATTAACGTCAGTAAGTTTTCACAATCTTGACGTTCTTGAGGTCGTACATTTACGACTTTACGGTCGTAAACATTACGACTATGAGGTCGTTAATTTACGTTCTTGGAACCGATAATAACGACCTTAAGGACGTAAATTAACGATCTTATGGTCGTACATTTACGTTCTTGCGGTCGTTTATTTACCACCTTACGGTCGTTCACATTTCGACTATGAGGTCGTTAATTTACGTTCTTGGAACCGATAATAACGGCCTTAAGGACGTAAATTAACGACCTTATGGTCGTATATTTACGTTCTTGCGGTCGTACATTTACGACCTTACGGCCGTAAACATAACGACGTAACTTTGTACCACTTGGCCAGCCATAGGACGCTCCATTCTGGACGCTCACTATTGAACCGAACGCTATCGATTCAGGACGCTCCATTCTGGACGCTATTTAACCAGACGCTTTCTTCAATCAGGACGCTCTATTCTCCGTTCTGGAATAGATTAAAAGCGTCCGGAATAAAGAGCATACGAAATCGTACATTTTCGTGCACCTAAATTACGAAATTATGTATGTAAACTTTTGACACAGAATTTACACCATACAGATGCTACTGCTACTGTAATGCTACTCCTCACGGGTGAGGGAAATCTAAATGTCATTACGTCTAAATGGGGAACGTTACAAGATCAGTACAATAGAAGTTTATGCAATGCCTGCAAGACTGAAATTGAAACGTTAGAACATCTTATCTATAAATGCGAATCGCACACACGTGAAAGGGACATAATCCAACGAGTTTTAAGCACAAATGGTATCCCAAATAACAGCCCAGACGAAACAAAGTTAGCAATCATATTTGGGAAAGGTCACATATTAAAAATGGAGAGTTACGTAGCAATTGCAAAAGCAATTCATACCATGTATATTAGCAAAGTTAGGATGTAAACACGGCTTAATAATTAATCTTATGATTGTATACTGTGTAATATGATTTATGTGCAAAAAATGTTTCATGGGTTATTGCTGGGACGTTGAGGTAGAGGTTGAAAACTAATGTAACCTTACAATTTACCCAATTTACATACATTGATTCCTGGCTGAGATATCATATCGACCTTGGGGAAGATGGCTTGCACTCAGCTGGTTATATTTATATTGTACATATTGTATTTATATATTTTGTCATTTAAACATACATGTTCTTGCATATTATAATTATGTACTCTCCAATATATTATGGGGGCAATAAAGATACATAAACATAAACAAGCAACTTTAAAGCGCCATCAAAGCGCCATCAAAGCGCCGTTGGTGTGAACGTAGCTTTAGTATACATAACTCAATCGGGTTACTTACTCCAAGTGTTTTCGTTTGGAATGAAACGATTGTTGTATAAGATTCACTATGAGAGGACCTTTTGTACCAAAAGAAGCGTTCATATTTTGAGAATATTTTTGAAACGAACCTAGAGCATGTCATGAAATTAGAATCATTCAAAAACCAAACTGATCAAGTTGAAACTTTTCGACAATATCTGAAATTGCTTGAAGGTCACATGTTAAACTATTTTAAACACATTGTAGAATATATTGAAGTATGGTTAATAGTGTTGTAAATAATGGGCATGTTTGACATTGTTTGTTTTCAGAATAGGCAGATAACTAAGCAATGGAAGGGTGCTCTAACACAATTACGGAGAAGTTAGAACCAAAGTACTTCACAGTCTTTGGATTTCTGTTGAACATTCTACTGATACCAAGATTCGTTATAACAGCAGTATCTCAAACAGAACTTTTCAATACGGACAATTTTGTATGTACCCCAAACGTCACTCTTGATTTGGATTCAGAAAGCATAAAACAAAGATGTCATGACACATTTGCTGCAACCTCGACATGGCCGCCACATGCCAATTGGTACACACAATTAGGGGCAACAATTGGCCTTGTGACTTTCTTCTATTTTCCATCTTGGTGGACTGTAAACCATACGAAACAGCTGTCAGAAGGAGAAACGAAAACCATTGCTTGTGTATATCTCGCACAGACAGCCTTCAGAACAATCATAGAGTTCGGCTTCGGTGTCACACAGGTTGCCTTATATGGGTTCCAGATCCCTAGTCAGTTCGTCTGTTCAGTGAACAATGAAAGAATACCATGTGATGTTCTCAAGGTCACCGGGAAAACTGCCATCCTTGTTGCTATGCTAATTATCTCCCTAGCCGTGGTGGTTTTGCATGGGGTAGAGTCAATTAAGGCAATCATAATGTTTCGAAGAGGCAACAGTCATATACTCTTACCAATTCTTGTGGATCATGGTTCAATCTTACCTCGGGAAGTTGATCAAGGTAAAGTCAACATTTAAATACATTATGCGATGGATCTGAGAAATCAGACTGAACATTTTTACTTGTCTTAACACTGTTACTTACTCTTGTAGTGCTAATTATTAAGTTAAATAGGTAGGAAACTTAGCATTGTGTACAGGGTGTTCAAAAAAACGCAACCCAAAGAAATCGCTATATCTTGGAAAATAGTTATCCAATTACCCAAATGCGAGTAGGTAGTTACCAGTTTCACCACCAGGTGGCTGATTCGGGTCAATTAACATGGCAGGTATATAAGAAAGTTCCCTTAAACTTGAATGTTATCAATTTAAGTGGCTCAATTTTAATATAACCCTTATGTGTCCGATACTTATACTAATGAAAATATGTCCAGTAAAGCAAAATATTATCTGTCCACTAAAAGAAAATATATTTCATTTTTTGTGATTTTATAGCATGGGGTCTATGGGGAATCTCCCCGAGCTAGAAGTCACATTTTCAAAGAAAATTAATTTTTCAAAGTTGATAAACACTTTTTAAAACCACATTTCTAGATGTAATTTTACATGTATATTTCAAATATGATATTACTTTGACTGAATTTTGAATTTTTAATGACGTAAATCAAGATTATTTCTACTCGCATCTGGGTTATTGTGTTCATATTTTCAGGAAAGAAAGAAGAGACTGTGTATGTACAGCTCCTGTTGTTAGTTAGTTGTAAAACATGATGTCTTGTACACCTGCCCAAAAGGCAGTCGAACATGGAAAATACGAAAAACGTGAATGGAAAATCACTATATATTGGAAAATACTTATTCAATTATGTTCATTTTTTCAGGAAAAGAAAGAAGATATTGTGTATGTATAGCTCCTGTTATTAGTAAGTTGTAAGACATGATGCATTGGACACCTGCCCAAAAGACAGTTGTTCTAGGAAAATACGAAAAACGCACAGTCAGAGGTTACTGCCACAGCAATAAAACCTAACAACTTTCTAACCATAGTGCTTTGGCACTTGAGATTTGGCACAAATTATCCTCATTCAATGTGTGGTGAATTTGTGGAGTTTCATCAAAATCACTTCAGGGACTTTACAGTCATGGTCAAAATGCCTTCTGAAGTCTGCCGGAACCAGGGCGTTTGACTGAGATTTGAAAGCATTTCGACCATAACTGTAAAGCCCCTGAAGTGATTTTAATTTCACTTTACAGATTTACCATACAGTGAATGAAGATTATTTGTGCCAGATTTGAAGACCCAAAACACTATGGCTAGGAAGTTATTTAGTTTTTTGCGGTTGCAGTCAACCCTGACTCGGTTTTTCGTATTTTCCTAGTACAACTGTCTTTTGAGCAGGTGTCCAATGCATCATGTTTTACAACTAACCAATTACAGGAGCTATACATACACAGTCTCTTCTTTCTTTCCTGAAAAATGAACATAATTGAACTAGTACTTTTCAAGAAATAGCAATTTCTTTGGGTTGCGTTTTTTGAACACCCTGTACATTTGATTTACATAGGCAGATAAGGGCTATATTTACTAACACGAATCCGCGAATGCTATCGTAATCCTTCAATTTCTACAACAATTAGGTGTATTTTCGATTTCGGGGAACGAGTTCGTCGCACTCTCGTCGTAGAGTACATATCTCTTATGTACTTATAAATCTGCATCGTGTATTATAACTACTGATAGCTGCACGGGTTAACTGCGATATCTTAAAAATTAAAATATGGTAGTAATCAACTGTTGTATTTCATCAAAGTTACACACAGTTATTGATGCTGATGTCAAAACAAACAACACTATTCTTAATAGATGGTGACTCAATAAACTGTTACAAGTATGAAAATGTCAATATTTCTCATAAATTTGGTGTTTACCCTAAAATATACTCGAGTTCTTAAAGAGCAAGCTCTCTTGATTAATTTGACACCAGCAGATTTAAAATCCTATCATGGTTGACTTCACAGGACGGAAATTATTAACTCATATGAAATCTGACTTGCACCAACTTCTCAGTGGTTGAGAATGTCATGCCTTTCCCCGACGGCATTCCATTCCCTGGTAATTTTCGGCATGTATGGTGACAACAGGACGGCATTGACCATTTTGTACTCGTGACATTTCAATTGAGACACTCTGCTAGAATATCAAAAATAGTTATCGTAAAGACCCAACTACAGTACTTTTCTGAATTAATATCTTTGTATTTTATGCTTCTAGATCAGAGGACAGCTGATAGGGGACCAGTCCACCAGGAGATAACTGATACCATAAGAAGTAAAAAAAAAATATATACTCTATCAATGTTAACAAGTTTCTCTTTAAAAGTAAAAAACAACAGAGTAGGAGCAAGTATTCTGAATCTGTGGGTATGCAGTATAACAAAAACGCGATTTAAATAACCATGTAAATGTGACAATATTATCAGTGACTAGTGCTACCTAAAGGGTAGACAAAAAATTATTATTAAAGATCTACATGTAGGAATACAACCGATCATAGTGAACAAACAATTGACGTACTTTGTATCGATCAATAAAAGAGTAGAGTTTACAAAAGTGATATACTGATTTCAGGTGTTCAACAAAAAATTGGATTAGTGTATGCCACAAACTACTTCTATGCATACCTGAAGATTGTCATCCAACGAGGTTTATGTCTAAGCTCAAGTAAGTCACTCTTCCACTATCAACGGTAATTGATGCGCAAGCTTCTACAGGGTGTCAAATAATTACGTCCCCCCCCCATACGCTTTATTGTAAACACAATGTTGCATAACGTTTTTGTCTGCATGATATCTTAATTGTTCTTTAGTACTTTAAAACTAGGCGTCATGGAGCAACTCCACAAAAATTTTCAGATGACTAGCTCAACTAGATGCACTTCAATCTATGCACACAATTTTATACTTTGAAAATTAAAGGAGATGACATATTTTTATAACACCCTGTAGAATGTCGTTTAGCTCGACCTTTACACTTTCGTGACCAAGTCTGTTGACACCATTTGCTTCATTAAATCTTTCATTGTACTCCATATATTTTATCTTTCATCATCTACTGCATAACTTTTAAAAGGCACATCAAGTTCAAACTTTAATAGTGACATGAGTGAAAGAACTTGAAAGTTGCAAGCAACATAAGTACTATTGGCATACAAAACTTATTAAAAGTCAAAAGTGCAAAAATGGGGTAAATATATCTAAAATGTCCCAAATAATAAAATGGTAACTATCGCAATTGATAAATGGTAATTATTGTAAAAATCTTTAGTTAACTTGAATAAAGTATACACTTTTGGGGATCTTTAGAAAATTGACCTGATAAGTAATGATATTTTCCATCGATGAATAAAATCCTACAATCACAGATTTGACGAATATTGACGATGACGAAACAATATTTTTAAGCTTTTGACATAATTAAGCAATATAACCCATGCCAGGTATTATAATTGTCTCATTCCTGGTTAGGAAGAGGAATATGAAATAGTTTGATATTCAATCGTCATTTGTCACGTCTATTACAAATATAAAACGATGGGCTCGCATAAAATAGATTGGACGTATGAATTGATAATCATGCAAGCTATAATAATTTTCCTTTCTGTACTTCGTTGAATGTACTGTTTTGTGAATTTATTAAAAGTGCTCAAATGGGCTGATCGATATGGATGTTTGCATGTTGATGTTTTGCGAAGTTTTTCTTTCTTGGTTGATACCTCTGAATGTCGTGATAATGTATTTTTCAGAATTGAAGGACACGATTCAAGAATATATTGATAAAAAAGATTTGAAACGAAGAAAAATTAAAATGGCTAAAAAGCTGTATATACTAGTTCCTGATTCTGGAAGATGTCCAAAATTGATGAGCGAAAAGGACCCCGAAATGAGTGAAGCATATTTCTTCACGTTTAAAGCAAATCGTGCAGGTTCGGCGAGGATATTCAGAAACACAGTGTGGAAATTTAAGATTGGAGACCAGGTAGCGTATCACTCACTTTAGTTTATGAATAGTTTATTTTAGAATGACAGGGATGGAGTTAATCACGCTTTTATTATATTATACTTGAAAACGAAAAAAAAGAAAAAATTAATTTTTAAAAAATAATTTTAAAAAATTAAACAAATAAATCAATTAAAATTTCTCAGAAATAATTCATATTTTATAGAATACCGTATTCATCAAAAACCCATTTGCAAATTGTTAAATCAAACTATTTTCCAGGTTTATCACGCCTTGGCTGAGTTTGCTACTATCCTTCATACGTTGTCAGAGTTGCCGGAATTGACCATGAACGACGAGGACAAGAAGAATGAAACGAGAAAATTTTACGATGCTCTCAAACTTTATATTGATAACACTTTCGGAGAGGATGGTGATGTTGTTGAACTAGTACATATCAACGATTCATCGCCAACGATATCTAAAGTCCTTAAAGAGAAAATAGATAAAGAGGTTGTTGACATTGGGTCAGATACCCCGCTGATATGATATTTCACCGCTGTATAGTGGAAGCATTCATATACTCAAAGAGCTTAATGTTTTTTGGATGGTTGGCCCTTTTAGCGCCCAATTGCCTGGCCTATTTGGCAGTATTCACAAGTTCATATATATACAGGGTGTTCAAAAAAAACGCAACCCAAAGAAATCGCTATATCTTGAAAAATACTGGTTCAATTATGTTCATATTTTCAGGAAATAAAGAAGAGACTGCATGAACAGCTCCTGTAAATGGTTAGTTGTAAAACATGATGCCTTGGACACCTGCTCAAAAGACAGTTGTACGAGGAAAATATGAAAAACCCAGTCAGGGGTGACAGCAACCGCGAAGAAATTAAATAACTTCCTAACCATAGTGTTTTGGCTCTTCAAATTTGGCACAAATCATCTTCATTCATTGTATGGTAAATCTGTAGAGTGAAATCAAAATCACTTCAGGGACTTTACAATTATGGCTGAAATGCTTTCAAATCGCAGTCAAACGCCCTGGTTCAGAGAGACTTAAGAAGCCATTTTGACCATGACTGTAAAGTCCCTGGAGTGATTTTGATAAAACTCCACAAATTTACTACACATTGAATGAGGATAATTTGTGCCAAATCTGAAGTGCCAAAACACCATGGTTAGAAAGTTATTTGGTTTTATTGCTGTGGCAGTCACTTCTGACTGCGTTTTCATATTTTCCTAGTACAACTGTCATTTGAGCAGGTGTACAAGGCAACATGTTTTATAACTTACTGACAACAGGAGCTATACATACACAGTCTCTTCTTCTTTTCCTGAAAAAATGAACATAATTGAATTAATATTTTCCAAGATATAGTGATTTTCCATTCACGTTTTTCATATTTTGCTAGTACAACTGTCTTTTGAGAAAGTGTCCAAGATATCATGTTTTACAACTAACTAACAACAGGGGCTTGCAAACACAGTCTCTTCTTTCTTTCCTGAAAATCTGAACATAATTGGATTAGTATTTTCCAAGATATTGGGATTTCTTTGGGTTGCGTTTTTTTTGAACACCCTGTATATACCATTAAAACCTCTTTTTAGTTTTAAATGTATTGCGAAGACAGTACTATAGTCGTTGATCTACAAACTTTTTTTTAGGTGAAACATTGAGGTGAAAAACGAGTTCAAAATTAATGACTTCATGATTGGCATGATATATTATATTAGCCTCTAATAATCCCAATATCCTGAACCTCATATAGGATAATCTCTATATATCTTCTAAGCTGGTCCCCAGTCCCCAGTTCCCAGTTTGAGATATCTATATTGTTATATATAATATGTATGTATTTGTATGTATCTTTTAAGAAGGTCCCCAGTCCCCAGTTCCCAGTATGAGATATCTATATGCTATATCGTATAATATATATGATTTATATGCATCTTTTAAGAAGGTCCCCAGTCCCCAGTTCCCAGTATGAGATATCTATATGCTATATCGTATAATATATATGATTTATATGCATCTTTTAAGAAGGTCCCCAGTCCCCAGTTCCCAGTTTGAGATATCTATGTTTGTGTATATATGTATTTGTATGTATCTTGTAAGTTGGTCCCCAGTCCCCAGTTCCCATTTTGAGATATCTATGTTATATGTATGTATGTATGTATCTTCTAAGCTGGTCCCCAGTCCCCATTTCCCAGTTTGAGATATTATCTATATGCAGGTATTTGTATTAAACATTGACATAATATGAAATTAATTTAACATCGTAACGAAAAAGTACAATTGTAAATCTAATTTGTATTAAACATTGACAGAATATGAAATGAATATAACATCGTAACAAAAAGTACAATTATAAATCTAATATGTATTTGTATTAAACATTGACAGAATATGAAATGAATATAACATCGTAACAAAAAAGTACAATTGTAAGTCTAATATTTATGTATTTAACAATTGTCTTCAAATATCAAGGTAAAATAACCAAAATGTTATCTGAGTAGTATTACTCCAGTGTATTGCATGTATAAGCTATCTAATATTTATGAGCATTTTAAAACCTATTTTTGGCATTTAGCATCAATCAATTTGTACAGATTTTTATTCTTCTGTTTTGGTATGAGCTACTAGTACATAATGAAGGTGTTAGATTTTTTCTCTATCTGATTTAATACATTGCATATTTTAGATAGGTAAATAAATGTAAACAACCATAGACCATAGATAAAAAATTGATTCCCTATTAATGAAGACATTTGAGCTGCTTCTCCAGGGTACAAGTGTATATGTTCCCATAGCAACCACAACTAGCCTAAAATGTTACAATGACCACCCAAAAATACTCATTACAAGGATGTATGGAATTCCATAAATGAAAATTAAGAATCAATAAATGATAATGTATGGATAAGCCTATGAACATAAACTAAATCAAAAATATCACATCACAGTGATCTCCCCATTCAGTTTACCCCCCCCCCCCTACTTGAAACCAAAGGCCACCAGTTGGCACCCTGCACTTCAACTTCTGATTTAAAAAATGAGTTAAAGATATGCTAAACAGATCGGTAGGTCAGTATAACATAATCATGAAATGAATAAGTCTGAAAATACAATTGGTCAGAATGTACTAAAACCTGCTTGAAACTGAAAAACATTGCATGCTCTGTACACAAAGGCTTTTGAAATTCGCAGTAACAAAATTGTAGAAACATGAATTATTCTGATTGATATATCATGAACGTATTGCATTAACACCGACCTCAACATATCACATCAAGGGCAATACAATATTAAACACGCGCTTCTATCATATCGTAGTAAAGTTTCGAACATTTTCAAAAGATGGCGTATATTAGCAGTTTTAATATTAAGTTTACGAATTTAATTTATAGATCATGACGTATTGCATTAACACCGTCCTCAACATCTCGCATCAAGAGCAATAACGTATTCAATAAGCTCATCTTACATATCATATCGTTTGCTGCGGTAGACCTTCGGATTTATTTTGTTAAGTAACATTACATACTAGTATTTGGATTAGCTCAATATACACTCCCCTCCATAAGTTTGGCAACCTTTTTTCTCCATTGAACTACGTGTTAAAGCCTCTTTACGTTTGAATTTTTATTTACTTAAAGGGGACCACCACCATGGTCACATGATCAGTCGTGTGGAGGTAAGCTCCCAGTTGAAATAAAAGCACTGACCTCCTTTGGTTTATGTGAAAAGTAGCTAATACCCTCATGTATTGGTCAGTTTGTGTGTCACACGATTAATCCATACCATATGCTTCATTCAACATATTTTATGCTATTAAGATGCATATAAAAACACTACTTTGCAGTAAAAACGAACTACTGGATGAACTAAGGTTAGGGTAATTAAATTAGTTGTTTCTCATTCTTGCCCGCGTGTGGCCCAATCCCCCCTCCACCTTTTTTCTGCCATTTCTGAGAAAAAAACACCGTACCTCGCGCGCATCCATGGCGTGTGAAACACTTTATTTACTTTTTATGGATCAGGATAATTGACAATATCGTGGTACTGATATATGATCAAATATACCAGTAAAGTAGGCTAAATTCAACATATAAATTCAACATAAACTCAGTTTATTTCCTTCAAAATTAGTTATTTGTTTTTACAGTTATTTTAAAGAAAAAAAATCATCCCGTCCCTCATCAGCATTTTAGATAGACAAAAAAGGTAATATAAAAACCGTCATTCCCGTATCAATTTTGAAAATTAGAAGAAAGAGAAACAACTAATTTAATTACCCTGACCTAACACAAAATACAAAGCCACTAGCTAGCTGATACAGTATACTTACCCCTTGCAAATTGTAATTTATTGAATTCACAGTAAACCCATCAATTTAAAAAAAACAAAGAATATTGTTCTCATGGATCTATTATTCATGTTAAACTAACTATGAAAATATAAATATGAAATAATATGGTAGCTTGAAGTCATATATAAGATGAAAATATATGTTCATGCATTTGCATTTTTCCATAAGGGAATATACTCACTTATATTCCCATGTAAGTAAATACAGGTGCAATATATACTTTATATGTATATCTATGTCAATGCATTCTATACATGCGCGTATAATATCGTGATACATTTGAACAAGATGGTTCTGGAAAGAAATGAGCGTGGCAGATTTGCTAAAAAGCCACATACACCACAAAAGCAAGACCAATTTGAAAGGAAGTTCATTATTCTCAAGGGTACACTTCAAGTGAAAGCTACATTGCTACAGGGTGGCCTATCATTCTGAGACAAATGTATTATCCAACGATTGTGATTTTCGAAGCTAAAATATGATATCTTGAGCAGATGGAAATACATTCCCATGAGATATGTATATATAGTCAAAAGTGATAACTATTATTGAGTGTAATGAAACGTATCCTTCGCTAACTGCTTTTGTTTGAGATAATTATCATGAAATATTTTTTAATTAATTTTTATGTGTGTCATTGATCCTAATCCACCCTGTAGTCTGGTGTTTGTAGAGCATTGCACCTCGTACAACTTATTCTCACATGATCAAACCTCATTTACTAATTTTTTTTTGTCTGAATATGAAGAGTCCAAGCATTGCTTTTTTATGTTTACTGTATAGCTATATTTAGCCTTGATATCCATGATTTTTTAAAACAAAATCTCACCGTTAGATTTCGAGCTATTCATGTTTACTCATTTTTCTAATTGGAAAACAATGCAAATCTCATTGTTTCAAAGGAAAAAAATTGAAATTCTAAGACGGTGAAAAATCATTAAAAAATACACAGATTCAGAATCCGGCAAGCATTTTCCCTTATTCCTCTCCGTTAAGAAGTTTTGTAAGGTGTTGGATCCCTTTAACCTGCCATGAAATAACTTATAATATTGATGGAAACGTAACTTGACTTTTCCAATACCTCCAAATTTTCTCAATTTTTTTCCTCAATTACAATAGGTCGAAAATTGATGATAAATTTGATGAATTTTTGAAAATCGTCATTCTCATGTAATCCGATGGGAAATGGAGGGTTCGGGGCAAATCAGAAATCAGGATATCTTTTCAGTAAACGATTCAGCAAAAAATATTTTTATATAGAAAATAGAATTGTCTTACTTTTTTGAACACTAAGTGTTTAGTTTATTTGATGAATATTAAAGTTACAGGGCTTCAAAGTCATTTTTGAAAATTATTTTTCGCCTCCTGTGTTATTTCAAT